GGAGGGGGGTCAAACAAAAGCTGATTATATGCTGACAGGAGGGGGGGGGGGAAAAATTGGCTGAAAAAAGCTGACGTCATTAAAGAATGGTCCCTTAGGGTGCAAAATTTAAAAAATACATTCATCGCATCTTAAGACTGATTTCATATCCGGAATCAGCGTCTCAACATAAGCAAAGTAGCTCTCGGAGAACCAGATTTGATACGTTATTGTGTATATTTTAGCAATTTTCTTGTTTAATTGATCGTCAATGGTGAAATTGTGTATCAAAGTCACTCGGTGCGTTGCACATAGCAGTCAAGTCAAAGTCTCTACTTCTGCACACAACACGGTACAATATGGCCATCCTTTTCTAAAGGCATTGTTCTGCTATTTATGAAAATGTAGAGGGAAAGATTTGTTTGTTTGTTGTTGTTTGATTTTAGGGGAGTGGGCTCTCGTGATCTAGAGGTACAGTGCTCGCCTCTCATTCATTAGGTCCCGGATTCGAAACCTTCACATAGAGTGCAGGCAAATCGCTGTGGTCACAAAGAGACATGGTGGCTTTATGACGAAAAATCTTCTCGATCGAAAGAAAACTGGATGATAGATTGGAACGGGTAAACAGACAACACAGTTCGATAAAACGGACAGTTCTCGCAAATGACGAATCTGACACAATTTATGTAACCAAGGCTTAATGTGGACCGCTCCGAACCTTCCTGTCAGGGTCAGTCTTGCATCAATCTTGCTTCAAACTTGCATCAATCAAGCCTCAATCTTGCCTCAATCTAGTCTTTTTGTCAGGCTATAGAGTTACATTAAAGCGGGTGCACGGAGACAGTCGATGTATAATATATTATTTCCTCTGCGGAAGGGAACTCCCGCCTTTTGCGTGCCCGATGAAAAGATTCTACACGCACAGTTTTTATTCCTTTATTTTCTTCTTTCGTTTTCCATTTATGGCTGCTTAAGGATTTCTTTCTGCTTTTTGTTACCCTTCAATGGGTTTGGATAAAGATCGTATATAAAATGATAGTTCACTCAGCTAAAGATCGTACATAACAAGATAGTTCACTCAGCCAAAGATCGTACATAACAAGATAGTTCGCTTAGCCAAAGATCGTACATAACAAGATAGTTCACTCAGCCAAAAAGTGTCTGCGGAAGTCCGCGCATTGCTTCAGATGGCGCTACAGTCTTTGTTTAGAAGCTCTCTTTCGTTTCTCCAGAAGGAGAATAGGAATAGCACAGTTTGTTATGTTAGTTTCGCTTTATATGTTTTTCATACGAGAAGGGTAATTCATTTCGCGGTAACTCTGTACAGTACACACGACCTCGGTGCCTGCAAAAGTGTGCACGCCACTAGTGAACGCCTCTAGTGAACGACACTACTGAACGCCTCTAGTGAACGCACAGGATACCGGAAGTTCCAACAAAGCCAATGGCATCATGGCGACCACAGGCCGCGTCAAAACGTACGCTGGTGCTCTCAAAACATTCCTCAATGTTGCCCCAGTTCCCGCCTACATGTTCCCCAGCAGTCAGGAAAAACAAATGGACATAGAAGCAGAGGAGGACCATGGAAATGATAAACCGTGGCATTGCCTGCCGTACCACATTCTGGTCACAATCTGTCGGTAGGTCTAAAGCCCCGGTTACACGCAACGATAAATTGTACAAAAACTGGACGATCTATCGATCATGAGACAAATCGTCAGGTGTAACCACAAAATTGTACAAAGTTTGGACGATTGGACGATGGCTTTGAGATTAGGTCGAGAAATCAAGCGCTGCTTGATATTTTCTGCGCCATCACAATCACACTTGGGGGAGGCCCGCTGTGACGATGAATCGCTTTAAAATTTGACGCCGTGCAGAATTAAACTTAGATCTAGGACTCAAAATTTTAAACATGATTATCGCAGATAAAACTGATTTCTTATTCGGAATCAGCGTCCTAAAATAAGCAACTTTGCTCGCGGGGAACCTGATTTGATGCGTTATTATGTAAATTTTAGCAATTTTATTATTCAGTTGATCGTCAATGGTGAAGTTGTGTATCAAGGTCACCCGGTGCGTTGCACATCTGCAGTCAAGTCAATGACTAGGAATCTCCCTGATCAGAAGAAAACTGGACGATAGATTGGGACGTCTAAACAGACTACACAGCTCGATAAAACAGACAGTTCTCGCATACGACGAATCTGACACAATTTATCATTACGTGTAACCGGGCCTTAAGTGTCACATGGATGCCCGATCTGCCCCACAATAGAAGGTTAGGCGTTGGTTACACGGAACTTGATAGGGAGGAGTTCTCAGAGGGCGGAACTTACCGGGACAAGGTCCACTGAGCAAACTATAGATCTACAAGTGTTGGTGAATTTAGAGAATCCAATTGATAACTTACATTTTAGTAAATTAGTCTATTCAAGAACCCATTTCAGTGTGAATTATATAGGGGAAAAAAGATTAAAGCAACGAAAAAAAAATTGTCAGTTTCCGTCCACTCTGAGGCTTTGTAAATAACCAAAATTTGGCGGCCATTTTATCACTAATTGTTCATCTAAAACCAGGCGACCCACACCTCCTTCGATCGCAAATATCTCAACATGTACTCAAGATAAATCGGTAATTTTTTCATCGAAAGCGAGGCAAATGAACAAGCTGTAAGATGATACCAATAAATCCACATGCCCAAAAATTGACGAGCGCCTGATTCCACCCCGCCGAGACACATTAATTGATCCCTCGAGATTGTCGCGGTGGACTATCACTATAAATTAAATTATGATTATTATACTGACTATAACCTGACAAGCTGGGAGCGCGTGCGTGTGAGTCTCGCGTGAGTCTCGCGTGAGTACACCCTGGGGTCTGTACAAGAGCTCAGGCGTGTGTGATGATATGCATTCCTGTACTTGATGGGGCCAGCCTGAAACAGGGATTTCCCGCTCAACAACTCTCGGAGATAATGAAATAACAGTGGACTGATGGGTTTATGTCCACGG